GATGATGACGATGCCGATAAACAAATGGGAGATACAGATAATGCTGCCGAAAAGTAAGTGAATATCATCATTATTTTTGAAACAAATTACAATAATTATTGTAAAATGTGATCTTAAATGTCGAATATTTTTTAATATGTTTTTAGTCACGTAAAATTGAAAGCAGAACCAATTTATTTGAAATTGACTAATATTGTTAAATTGTCATAAAGTCGGTTAGCAAGAGTTAGAACGTCCAATATATACATATGTTAAGAAAGATATTAGGAAAATAAAAGGATGCCTTTATTTTCATTATTGTATAAGTAAGATTCTATAAGCTGTTTTAAAAACACGGTATAGTTAAATTGCATTTGTATGAACGTTACAGCTCTAGTTAACCACTCTGTATAATATTAAGTAATTTTGTGTAATATAAATAAAGGAAATATACCTCTGTGGAATTCTTGCTACATATTTAGCTATTGCAATATATTTAAACTCAAACTCAAACTCAAACAACTTTATTCAATATAGAAGCATTACACTTTCTTATTGGTGGTCATTTGAGACACTACCACCGGTTCGGAAAAGAAAATACCCTGACCTGAGAGGAACTGGCAAAAGAAACTCAGCGGGTTTATTTTTTTTTAATATATATATATATATATATATATATATATATATATATATATATATATATATATATAAAATTGTCTCATATATTATATACACAATTTAATATGAGATGAAATAGCCAGGAGGCGATCGTTTCATTCCCAAGGTGTGCTATCGTTCATAAACTCATTAATTGTATAGTAACCTTTTGCACACAAGCGTTCCTTAATAATTTTTTTAAATTTAGCAAGAGAGGCATTTTGAACGCTTTCTGGGATCCTGTTGTAAAACCGTATACATTGCCCCACAAAGGAGTTACTGACTCTATGTAGTCAAGTAACAGGAGTAACAAGTTTATGTTTGTTCCTTGTACCAATGCTATGAGTATCACATTTTCTCATGAAATCATTAATATTTTTTCGTACATACATAACATTGCAGAATACATATTGAGAAGCAACAGTCAATATGTTGATTTCTTTAAATTTATTCCTTAACGATTCTTTAGCTCCTAGGTTATAGATTGCGCGAATAGCCCTCTTCTGTAGCACAAATATAGTATGGGAGTATAACTATTTCAATTTTCAAATTTCAGACCAAATATGAATTTTACCATATAAAACTATGTATTTACAATAAGGTCCCGGATAATATTCTATTTGCCAACCAAATATGTATTAATACTTTTATGCATATTTATATTTTTATGACACTTAATGCTAAGGTTTATCAAAAACATTTGATTTGTCTGTATTTATATAATCTTCTAAACCTGGTGTCTTCTTTCTTAAATCATAGTATGGAACTATTAGTGACCTTTACGAAGCAGGGATAATATTACAAAAGTTGTCGTCAAGTTCAATGCAAAAGAAATTGTTCAGCATTTAGATTGATTTTTTTAACTTGCACACATTTGGGCTACTTTAAGAAAGATTGTCATATGGAAATTATTTTCAATCGCAGGGCATTTATTAAGAGCTAAAACTAAAATTCAGAGAAATGAGGAACAATCTATGTATGCACATATATAAAAATTTTAATACCTTTTTCCCTTGGTCCCGGCATCACGCGTGAATTGCTGGACCGATTTCACTGATTCTTTTTTTGTTGTATAATGTATTTGTTATTGATAGGAGAAGGTTCTTATGTAATAAAAAAATACGAAAATTACTAGAAAAGAAAATAACTACAATGTTTCACTTTTATGTTTAAATAATATGTCACTGGCGGTAATATCACGTAGTTAGAATAAAGTATTAGAATAATAAACACTTTGTTTTTGGAATAATGTTTATATGTATTAATATACCAATAAGAATCCAATAATCATAGTAAGAAGACAGACCATTGTCTGTCGGGTCAGTTATACTTAATAAAGAAATTAGTTTTATTCAGATAAAAGGTAACAGATATAGGGTTCGCCGGGTCAGCTAGTTATTAATAAAGCGAATTTTCAAAAGGAACATAATTTAAATGGATAATTATGAATTATAGGTTTCTCACAAATACATATATTGAATTTTTGTCTACACTGTGAATTTTGTTGTCATATAGTTTTGGTGAAATTTACAAAAGTACATGTTAAGTACATGTAATGTACATATATTTCAAATTGTATAAAAAACAATGAAATCAAATGATATTGTCAATTAAATGAAACTAATATTTTCGGATTTACTACGCGTTTTTATTTTTGACTATAAACTTCATACTCCCGACGCGACGTTTTGGCTACTTTACAGCAACCGTGATCACGGGCAGACGAGATGTGATATTGTCAATTGTTGAATTGCAATTATTAAAACTTATTATAAGTAAAATACTTGTATATATCGGATTTATTACAAACTAGCTTTCCGCCCGCAGCTTCGCCGCGTGGAGTTCGGTTATATCGCGTTTCCAAGAGAACCTTTCAAAAGTCTGGGATAAAAACTATCCTATGTTCTTTCTCAAGGTCAACTCTATCTCTGTACCGAATTTCATTAAAATCAGTTCAGTGGTTTAGGCGTGAAAGCGTAGCAGACAGACAGACAGACAGACAGACAGAGTTACTTTCGCATTTATAATATTAGTAGGGATTCATTGTTTTCAAAGAGAGAGACGCCAGCCTCGCTGACGTTACAAATGTCACTTCTACTAAAGCTCCATGATATTTTAAAATGAAACTTCAATTGTTCTTAATATTCCTGTATTTCTTGAAGGTTCTTCATAATCACATACTTCAATGATACGCACTCACTGAACTCTGAATTCGCAAGTCTGCCGTTGTGCGTCCAGACGTCATATTTATACCAAGATTTTAATCTAGTTCTATTCTCCTTTCAAACAATATTTGATTTCGTTTTACTTTTAACAATAATCATAAATACTAATGAGTTTTAATAAGAATTGATGACAGCCTCAAATTATTTTCACGTCTCATCCGTCATTAAAGCTGGTAGCGCCGATAAGGCCATTCTGACAGGCGGTGCGTGCTCTGCACCTGCCTGGTGATATATTCCCTCTTGGTTGGTGTTCGTTACGTTCTTGGACCAGTCCCCCGTCTCGTAGAGTAGATGGGGCAGGATCAAGAATTGATGCTTCATCTTCCGAAGACATGCCGATACGGTCATACAGGTGTTTGCTCTGCATATTGTTACAATTATGGATATTAAATTTGTTGTGGTCATATGGGTGACGTTGTTTACTACGACACATCGTCAGATGGTCATAATATCATCTCCAATTATCTAAGATACTTAAGATGTCCTCAAGCTCATGGATATTAATTAAATACAAACAATTAACCCTAACAATTATAATGTTACCAAAAGTATATATTTGCGTTTTATTCTTTTTATATTAAAATACAAGATCAATAATTGTAAAGATATGAGTGTTTTAAAAATATTATTACATTCCACGTCTGATACGCTTATAAGTTATAGCCATCTCTTAAAGTGAATTTTATTATAGAATGGAATTTAGAAAACTTATTTAAATATACAAATATGTAATTAATTATTATTTGAAAATATTAAAATAAATTTTAATTTCAAATTCCTTAATAACAATTTCATTTCGGTCATAACAGGAATTTCATTTTCCTGACAGTCAACTTCTAAAAAATATTCTTTATTAAAAATCTCTAACAAAAAAAGTAATATTGTTTGAAACCGTTATTAAATTAAATAAAAAATGTTTTTCACTTAAATGAACTTGACTACAAATCATCAAAAATTTATATTACATGTATAAATTAAATATTACATGTACTATAGAAATACATATATTTTGCGAATATTGCTCAGAAATAACATGAAAATTTTATAAGAGAGCAGTAGATATTACTTAAAACAACATATAATTTTATATACTTTGATGCTTTTCATGAGTTATCAAGTATTTTTCGCTCATTTTGCTGATTTGAACAAAGTTTAGTGTGTCATATCAAACCCGACGAATTCGTTTCAGTATGCATAAATATGTAACTTTACCTTTTAGTATTGCAAATGTTACTCATTTCATTATTAGAAATCCTTGTTAAACTAAGGACCATATCTAATTTTAATTCACAAAAATAATGCCCCATCTTTGCTACTTCGTCGTTCTAAATGAAAACAGTTCTTTTATTTGTGGAACAAAACTTTAATCATAATATTTATACCTACCTTATACTATTTTGTAACTAATTTGTAAACATTATTAAAATTTTAAGTAAACGTTACATCTGGAAATGTGACTGGAAATGACATTTAAAATATTGCGTTTTACGTCACAGCTTATATTAGCTACAGAAATTAAACTATGTATCTTAATCTGTCAAGAAGTATTAATTTTAAACTCAGTTCTTAATGTTACTAATGGATTTGATTTAACAAATTTAGGTAAGAAATAAGTGTCCGTAATCGTTACTAGAGGCTTATAAATGATTAATTATTATTACATATATTCAAAAATCGTAGTGTAGCAATGAGTGCGAAAGACCAGCAATAAACATGTGCGATTCGTGTAAAATTGTAGTTAATGAACTGTTAACATTTCTTCAAAATAAGTGCGATTTATTAGACGAGATAAGTCTGATACAAATTGCGGCATCATGGTTTAATAAAGAGGAGATAGAAAAGGCAAAATCTATTGCTTACGAGTATACAACTATAAAGAAGATTAACCGGAAGGGGGACAAAAAGAAGGATAAAGACATAACAGATATGGTGAAAGTGTTAAAAGAGACGGATCCCGATGATATGCCTATTTTTGTGGCGAAAGACCTTTCACGTGTACCACCTGTTACTTTCGACCACCTGGATGTGACATGTGTTTTGAAAAACCTATCCACAATCAGATCTCAAATCTTAATATTACAACAAGAAACTAACAGGTTAAACAATGAATTTAAATCGTTAAAAGTTTTAAATAAAAACATGCAACAAAGTGCACTAACTATTACGAGACATGAGTCACAGACCAGAGAAGAGGTCATTAACCCCATGCAGTGTCAACGACCTGACTCCGCCTCCAAGGCGGACGCTAATGCGTACACGCAGGAGGCGTCGCCTTCAACTGTTAAGGCCATACCCTCTTACGCAGCATTGGTCAAGGAGGGACAAGGGGCCACAGCTAAAGGCGGTGCTAATAAGGATTATATGTACATATAGCGATATGCCTCGCTTACATAGCGGTCTACGGTTCTCAAACATATTACCCTCAAAGAATAATTTTACATCAAATACAAATGAAAACATAAAAGAAGTTGATGATGATGGGTTTACTAAAGTCCAAAGAAAGAGAAAGAGGATTCCTAATATGCATGGCACGAGTAAAAACAACAATATAAAATTAAAAGTGGCGGACATGACATTCAACTTATATGTCTCCAGGTTTCAGTCGTCTACTACAGAAGATGACATAAAAGAATATCTTACTGAAAAAGGTATAGAAGCCATGGGAGTAGAAGTTTTACAATCAAAAATGCCAACAAACTTTCGTTCGTTTAAACTCGTAGTTAAGAAGAATGTTTATAAGGTAGTTTTAAATGAAGACTTTTGGCCCGAAGGAATAGTTTTCAGACCGTACAGAGTATCGAGGGGGTGGAAATCGAAAGAATGACGTCTATATCTAATCTTAAAATTACTACGATAAATTGTAAAGGGTTTAAACGTACCCAGAAGTTCATACAAGATTTAGGTAAAAACTCAGATATTATTTTATTACAGGAAACTTGGTTACACTCTGATGAATTAAGTTTATTAGATAATATTAATCTCAACTTCTATACTTTGGGAACCTCTGCCATGAACCTGGCAAATTCACATCATGGCCGACCCTACGGCGGAGTAGCAATATTGTGGCATAAAAATATTAATGCAACACCAGTAAAATGTGATTCACCGAGGCTAACTGCTATACATATTAAAGGCGTTGATACAAGCATATTACTCATTACTGTATATATGCCTACCGAGTGTAATGACAATTTAGAAGAATTTTCTGATTGCTTGAGTAAAATAATTACAATTGCCGATGAGAAAGAATGTCATGATTGTATAATTATGGGAGACTTTAATGCAGATCCACAGAGATTCTTCGGCAAAGAATTATTACAGTTCGCAAACGAAAACATGTTTAGTTGTGTAGATATAGATGAGATGCCGAAGGATTCATATACCTTTCTTAGCGATGCACATAACTCCACGTCATGGCTTGATCATTGTATGATATCTTACTCATTGAAAAGCCATATTAACTCAATATCGATAGATTATAATGTAGACTGGTCCGATCATAGGCCGCTATCAATTTCACTCAATTTAAAGAACCTTAACCATGCCAAAAGCATCACAGAAAAGCCAAAAGCTTTGCCAATCACTTGGAAGGCAAAAAGTGACCAAGAATTAATAAAATACGCAAGAGAAGCAGATCTCATGTTGCATAAAATTAAACCACTAGACGTCACTAACATTACACAATTGAGTCGGGAGGTAGCGACAAAGTTAATAGACAATAATTATGAGCGGATAGTTTCGTCTCTAAGGGCAGCTGCTAATCGAGTCTTCGCTCTTAAACCATCAAACGGATCGAAGAAGCGCAGAATACCAGGATGGAATGAGCGGGTCAAACAGGCCTATGCAACATCGAAAGAGGCTTGTATCAATTGGGTTGCCGCAGGTAGACCCTCGACCGGGGTGGTGGCGGAGAAAAGGTCAAGTACTAAGAAAGATTTCAAGAGGGAATATAAAAAATGCTTGAGAGATTCCGAGGAAATCAAGGCCAGCAGGATAGCACTTAGTCTTCACAATAAGAACTTTAATAGCTTCTGGAGACAGACAAATAAAGCTATGAAGACAAACAACAAGACGTTGGCTGTTGAAGTTAACGGAAAATCGGACGAAAGGGATATAGCTAAGGAATTTGCCAGCCATTTTGGTTTCACAACTAGTCACCCGGCAGACAAAACACCTATGTCGTGTAGAATTATTTCTATTTCCGCCGCCGAGGTCGATAAAATTATCCAATGTGAGAACAGAAATAAGGCGGCAGGACATGACGGCCTTGTGGCTGAGCATTTGATATATTCAGGCCCCTACCTACCGACACTGTTAGCCGCTCTGTTTAGCGCTTGTCTCACTATGTGTCACATACCAACCGACATGATGAAAACCACTGTAGTGCCATTACTTAAGCACAGACAGCTTGATATCTCTCTCCTATCGAGTTATCGCCCTATATCATTGGCTACTGCGACCGCAAAAGTTTTTGAAAAAGTAATCTTTGCTCACCTAAAGAAAAATTTACATACAAATGACCACCAAATGGGATTTAAACCGAGTACGTCTACCGACACTGCAATTTTCACTCTTAAGCAGACAATATCCTACTATAATAAAAGAAGAACGACGATATACGGCTGCTTTCTCGATCTCAGTAAGGCTTTTGATAGAGTATCCCATACAAATCTCTGGAATAAACTACATGAGAGACAAACACCAGAATATATAATTAATATCTTAAAATTTTGGCATGGACAACAAACGAATATTATAAGATGGGGCACCCATACATCTGACCCGACATTCTTGAGCAGTGGAGTCAGGCAAGGTGGAGCCATGTCGCCTGGTCTATTTAATGTGTATATGGATGCATTAAGTGACAAGCTACTGGCAACGAAGGTCGGCTGTCACATAAACAATACATGCATCAATCACATCGCGTACGTAGACGACATGGTGCTACTAGCACCCAGCATCAGAGCCCTAAGAATTCTCATACGAGAATGTGAGAAATATGCTGAGGAACACAATATGGTGTACAATATTCAGAAGACGAAGCTACTAATATTTAAGTATAGAAATGGGCCGGAAGCAATACCGCAAGTTCGTCTTAATGGACAGACTATTGAAATTGATTCATGCATAAAATACCTAGGGCACATAATAAGGGACGACCTCTCAGATGTCGATGATATCAACAGGCAAAGGAGAGCAATAACCATACGCGCGAACATGATATCACGAAGATTCAGACTATGCACTGATGAGGTGAAATCTTTATTATTTCGTACCTATTGTATGTGTTTCTATACAGCCGAATTGTGGATCAAATACACACAAAGTGCCATTAACGCTATGCGGGTGGGATATAACAACGCCTTTCGATTACTGTTCGGACTACCAAGATACTGTAGCGCATCAGAAATGTTCACTGAAAGGAGAGTACACGGTTTCTGGGCACTGATGCGTGTAAGAATTGCGAGCACCTGGAAGAGATATACTCAAAACAATAACTCATTAGTCAAGGCATGCTCGAACATTAATGTGGGATATTTGTTAGAGCATTGGTCCAAAATACACACACACTATCAAGGGGTATGCTAATGGTTATTGTGCGGTCAAGCTTGTGCTCACAATTTTAATATTAATTTAAGGTCTTTGTTTTAGTTTTTGTTTTAGTTTATAAGTTATTATTTGTAGTAAACTCATTAAATAAAAAGTGTGTAAAATTGGAATATTATGGTTCTGGAAAAAAAAAAATGTCTGCGGCAAGGAGAATGATCTACTTTGGGGCGGTCAAATTTATGCTCCGTTTATTTCTCATATTTGACGCTGGTAAGCGATATAAAACCTATTTGGATGTTCCCGTTGACCCAGTATTATGAATTTGGCAGGCAGCTGTCAAGAGAGAAAAGAAAAAAAAAACTTTACGACTTCCCACACTTTCATTGAAATGATTTCGTATTTAGTCTTAAAAATATATATATCATTAGATAAACGCCTTTATTCCGTTTGAAAGACACCTTGTACAAACAGTTTTCAAGATTATAATTCGTTCAACAAATAAAAACGTTGATATTGGCGAAATATTTAACAATTCCAATGAGTAGAAGTCATAGCGTAAGAAAAAACATATTTAGGAACAATTGTCACCAGTGGCGGCTGGTGGGTTATCGAACTGGTGGTGCACTTTAATAAAATATTAAAATTAGAAAATACAACAAAAAACCAATTTACATAAAATATGTTTATTTTTTAAACATTAAATCAATGCGACGACATTTTTCTGAAGCGAAATGTTTAATCACCTTTTTATTAAAATCGGGTATTGTTTATAAAATTATTTTTTTCAATACTAAGCATAGAAAGTGCATGGTATTTCGGAGAAAAGTTTTGATTCTTTTCAACTCCAATTCGTCATACATCGGGTGCTCTCGGTAACCTTCGGCCGCTCGTGCGGCGCTCGAGAACCGACTCATTACTCGGTACATTTCTATGAACTATCTTTTGTTTCACGCGCCAGGCGTATTAATACGTATCTCATACAAGATGTATTAGCCGTCCTCGTGCGCTCGCCGAAGCGCACGATATTAGTTTAGTAAAGCGCATAAACTCTTTGACCATAATTGGAAATTTAATTTTTTATACGTTTTTGTATGTTTAGAAAATAAATATTAAAATGGTAATTTAAAAATAAAGATAAAGTAATATTTTGTAACTTTTAATTCTTTTGATTTGGTAGTTCAGCGCACGAGTGCACTTAAGGTACAGCCGCCACTGGTCGGGAGTATGTAGTTTTAAAAATAATAAAATACGTGTAGTATAATTCTAAAAATATTAGTTTCGTCTCAATTAATTTCATTTTTACTATAGAGCTCATATCTGTTTGATACATGATGTATTTATTTCCAGAGTCCGTTACAAGAATCAGCTAAAGGTGAACCATTCCTTCAGATCGAGGAGCTGTATGATCCACGGTACGCGCCTTACAAATTCATCTTCAGACTCTGCTACCGTATACTGAGACTTAGTCAACAAGATTACAGGAAAAACCAAGTGAGTGATGATATTAATACGTCTATTATACACTCACTAGCTCTCCGTCTGCAGATTCGCCCGCGTGGAGTTCGGTTATATCGCGTTTCCAAGAGAACCTTTCAAAAGTCTAGGATAAAAACTATCCTATGTTCTTTCTCAGGGTCCACTCTATCTTTGTACAAAATTCCATTAAAGTCAGTTCTGTGGTTTAGGCGTGAAAGCGGAACAGACAGACGGACAGAGTTACTTTCGCTTTATATAATATTAGCAGGGATTCAACTGAAAATGTAGCTTGGGAGACCAAAAGGTACTAATATTTTTATAAAAGATACTTCTAAATATAATTGTTGGTGCTTCTGTGAATGGGATTTAATATATTTCTACGGATTTTTCAATAGGTGCTCGTTTCAGGAATACATCGCGAAGCACTTCAGCTTCATGCAGAAGCAGATCGGCTACGACATACTGGCTGAGGACACGATGACAGCACTGTTACACAACAACAGGGAGCTGTTGGAGAGAGAGACCTTTGTTGGTAAGTATATATGATCTTCTTCTTCTTGGCAATTTCTCAGCTAGGGTCGGAAAAAATATACTTACTGTATATTAAAATATTATTTAAATGAAACTAACAATTTTCAGATAATTACATACTCGTTATTGTACTATTTTTAAAACTACATACTGCCGACGTTTCTGTTACTACAGGGTGACTGGTGAATTACTATCGATACTTGAGGACGTGATATTTGACGATCATAAAACAAAATAAAAATTAATATAACATAAATATTAATAAACTTCTAAGTAAAGTTAACCAAAAGTTATGTAATTAATTACGCATCGTTTGACTACCCTACAGATTGGGTATACACACACACACACATACGCGTGCGGCGGCGTGGTGTTGTATCAGCACGCCGCCGCACGCGTCCACACTTGGAACACTTGGAACGTGTCAACACTTTATTTATTTATACGGAAATTTGGTCAAAAATTAAGTACCTATTTTTTTTACATATGTAATTCGAATGAGTATCATGTACCGAGTATTCTCCTTAAATATTGATAGTAATTCACCAGTCATCCTGTATACTGAAAACGTGATAACGGGCAGACGAGATGAGAATGATTCTCATAGTTTTCTAACTAATAAAATGAAAGTATTTTCAATAATACTCTCGAAAACCTATATATATATATATATATATATATATATATATATATATACACACACTTCCTGTATCTCGTTCCAGGTATAGTCCGTAAGAACATGAAGACCTGGACTACCTCAGTGACCTGTGCATCTCCAACAAGAAGGCCATCGCTGTCACACAGGAACTCATCTGCAAGAGTGTGTTGTGTGTTAACAATGCTGATATACTCACCAGATATAGAGACCAGGTACCGAATTTATTTACGGTTCACAAAGCAGATTATAACTAAAGATACAATTAATTGATAAGTAAACATTCTACATAAGCTGAGTTATGACCCAACGACTATGTGAACACGGATTATAGACTATATGTCACTTATAAAATCAAAAATACATCAGCACTTAAAAATACATTGTATACATATAAGAAAAGACATTTACAATAAAAAGAAAGAATATTTTACACAGAAAAGTATGAACAAGTTACAGCAATAAAAAATAAAATGAAATTATAAACTGGTGAAGCGAGGAACTAAATAATGGATAAGAAAATAGATTTAATCATTATTATTGTCTGTTAATTCAAACCAATTGTTTTTTTTTTAAATAGATTTAGGTTATTGTTTAAAATGTCAATACTATCAATCAATTAATAGATATATAACAAGCAACTATTTAATCTTTGTAAATTAAATGTGAGTTAAAAAATGTAACCGCTTTTCACTAATTGAATATAGATGTAGTATTGGGTCATGCACTAAAATAATTATAATAACCATAGAATATAATGAAGGAATCATTACACAGGTTAGTGCCAAATGAGTCGAGCGACGGAGACGGTGGGGAGGTGATGCTGTACTGGAACAATAAACAGGTTCGTGTAGACATGGTATTATTGTGAGCGAGGAGAATAAATGTTACCTTGTGTTATTAAAGATAGGACTTAAACGTTAACATCGTCAATTTTTGCCTTTATCATATTAGTTCATGCGGACATATCTGACCTAATACAAAAACAACTCTACACCAGCATACATAATATACTTTTTATGTTCTATCTTGACAATAAAGTACCTTTCAGTAAGAAAAGATTAAAAGTGTTTTATAGAAGTATATATAATTATATATTTTTGATTCTAACAATATAATTAAAAACTATAGTTGTTTTGTGAAGCCAGTACTTCTAAATCACATAACCTTAATTAGAAAAAAACTATTATCTTAAACCAAGACACCTTCAATAAGTTAAGTTCAATATATAAATACACAAGTTGCATAGACAAATATTTTCCCGCGTAAAATTGAACAAACCAAATGTCATTGCTTAAGGTCACTTTGGGTGCGTTCGGGAATTTAAAGCTTTGGTTCAAATTAAATGTTTGTTCCCTAATATATCATGTTTCAGGAGTGTCGGTCACTGAACTCATTGGCTGAACAAGCTTCAGATCCTCGTAGTGATTTTGGATTACTACCGACACCAACTCGACCTGTTCTCGAACATGTGTCTCAACAGACAGTACCTGGCATTGAACAGTCTATCACATTGATCTTATACTCGAGTAAGTTAAATCATTCCTTTAGAAATATGTATGTTCATATGGTTTAGAATTATTGATAGTAATTTTTAGTTTCCTTTGTCAGTACTTTAAAGTAAAAATACATTTTATTAAATAATAACGACTTTTTAATCACTCGAAAAGTGTACTTTGATACGATATTTTATTGATTCACGATTCTGATAAAGAGCTGATTTACCCAAACAAAATATAGTTTTTGTCATAAACGTCGTAAGCATAGCGAAAACTACGAAGTATCTCTAAAATATAGAAATATCTTTCAAATCAATTATCGCATTATGTCCAAATGAAAAAAATAATAAAATTATTACCTATTCAGATTTCAGATAACAAAATGAAGAATAAAAAGTCACACTCGTTGTGATCCATGTGCTAATAGTCCACGATGCTAACTAATATAGTAACTAATATTTTCAGATTTCTACCGAAACGTCGAGATAACATAAAATACGTTTAGTACATCCGAAAATATTAGTACCATTTAAATGAATACTCTCTAAAGCCTCAGATATCATGAACAACTATAACATGATCTCCAGATGCATGTCCAACCCGGTGTTATCCCACGAGGTCCGCGCGTCCTTCTGCCGCCTCATGCTGCACCTGCACGTGGACCGCGACCCTCAGGAGCCCGTCACACCCGTCAAGTACGCGAGGCTGTGGGCAGAGGTCGCCGCCACCATACGAGTGAACGAGTCGGTACACACACACACACACACACACACACACACACATCAACATTAACACACACATGCAAACACCCCGCGTGTTAAAAGACCAGTGATGTTGTGCTAATTTGTCTTTTACTGGAATGCATATATATAAAAGGGGGAGGAGGAGGATTTCTCCTAATTTCAGTCCGTGGCCAGGATCGGCCCCATATAAAGGAAAGGAAACGAAAATCCTTACGAAACCCATTATGTATGTACAAAAACCTGCAATTTTTTTTAATAAGTTAGCTAATTCAACCATCTGAATCATCAGAATTTAACCATCTTTAATTCCGGAACGCGTTCCTGTCCAAAAAGGAAGTACCGGATTATGTTCTGGAGCGTTCCAGCTCAACAACACCACTGAGAAAGACACTCACACATACACACATACAAGGCACACACAATGACACTACGATAAAATATAAATACATGTATGATATCAATTATTTTCATTACATTAATCATTAATTAATTCTGCCACAGCTATCAATGCGTGAAAGGCGGTCAGGACGCGACCAGGAAAAAAGTGAAGAAGCAGTTCGAGTCCACCATAGACTTCGTTGAGGACTACTTGTGTAAAGACGTGACTAGGACGTGGTACTTGAGCGACCACGACCAGAACAAGTTGACCTTTGAGGTCGTTAAACTGGCTGGAGAATTAATTTACTTTGGGTTTTATAGGTAAGATATTATATATATATATATATATCTACCCAGCCGTATTCGGCTATGGTGACTTAGCTTTGTTTTATAGATTACATAGGTAATATTTAAGAGCTGCGATGCGACCTCACATGACTAAAGTACCCAATCTTAGCACTAAACGTGCGACCACAAGTGTCACACGTCAGTGTACCATTTACATAATTGTATGTTATATTAGCAGGTGGACGTGCTTTTATTCGGTCGCGTTTGAGATCCAGTTCTAGTTTTCTTTTATCTTCAAATGCATGTACTTTTTCATGTACATGCCGTCTCCATCCAGATCTGTTAAAGATAAGATATTGATTTGTAGTTAAACAAATTCATCATATAAATATTCTTTTTCAATAAACTGACTTCTACTTCATATATATGTTTTAGTCTCCGTGATGATAGTACTGACGCTAAAATATACTAGCGATGTGTTAAAATACGTATTGATATCGAAAAACTATTACTTTGCTTATATAGAGCAAGATAATGTTAGTGAAAACACAAGAGAGGCTATAGTTTGTGAGCTGTTAATATTGTGCAGATGATTATATTAAAGAATTATAATACCATGATTTCTCTAGTTCACTTCATTTGTCTATAAATCTATATTTTTCAGTAAATAATATAAATTTGTCCATAATTTTCTAATTTAACACAGCTTCAGCGATCTTCTTCGGCTGACAAAACCTTATTGTCTTCTTGACTGTGTGACTGCGATCGATCTACTGAACGAAACGAACGCCCTCGCCGGAGAAGTGGAATGTGAGTTACATTAAATATAAACTAAACAAGATATACAGGGTGACTGGTGAATTACTATCAATATTTAAGGAGAATACTCGGTACATGATTCTCATTCGAATTATGCAAAAAAAATAGGTATTTAATTTTTGACCAAATTTCCGTATAAATAAATAAAGTGTGGACACGTTCCAAGTGTTCCAAGTGTGGACGCGTGCGGCGGCGTGCTGATACAACACCACGCCGCCGCACGCGTGTGTGTGTGTGTGTATACCTAATCTGTAGGGTGTTCACACGATGCGTAATTAATTACATAACTTTTGGTTAACTTTACTAAGAAGTTTATTAATATTTATGTTATATTAATTTTTATTTTGTCATATATGATCGTCAAATATCACGTCCTCAAGTATCGATAGTAATTCACCAGTCACCCTGTATATACATAGGTTATTTATAAACATGTACGTACATCCTAAAAGATATATGTAAAACATTAAAAAAGTTAATTAATACATTTATTGTATAATATTCAATTTATGTTTATTTTTAAAACTTAATGTTACACGCAGCTGAGGAAAATGAAAAGAAAATATGTGAGTAGTATAGTGCAGAATAACTTTAGAAAATTATTACACATACTTGCCCTGGCCAAAAATATTGTTATTTTTTAAATTTGGAGTCTGTCATCTTTTTCCCGCCAATTTATGTAAAATATTTTTTAATATTAAAATAAGGATATACAGAATACTGAATGACTGTTAGTTTTATATAAAGTAGCCGTGTAATCAAATACATTTTGTTAAAATCTAACTTCTAATAAGGAAGAACATATAAATGTATATATTTATTTCTGACCAAGATTTATATATTTGTTGCAGCGGAGGGGGAAGTTCTCCGGAGTATTGGCGATATGGGAGCAGTCATGACCTCCATCACACTCGGACCTGGAGCATTAAATGTAAATGTAACAGAAAACACATAAAAACTATATTAAGGTCAAAACCAATTACTAATATATAACTCCAATAATATTCACTTAGTTTGAAACCACTGTAAGAACAGAAAATATCTGTATTTTTGACCACAATACTCCCTAAAAAACTTGTTTCTTACTGAGATTTACAATTATTTAGTCGATTTATATATAGGAATGTATGTTGTTATTTAGAAAAAATATGTTTTTAAGTGTTGATTATACTATAAAGGATAAATCAAGACTCAGTATTTGCAATCGAAATAACCAAAATGTATGTTCTATTAGCAGGTGGTGGGCGGAGGGCCGGCGTCCTCGCCGCCCGTCAGCCTTGGCCCTGGCCCGGAAACATCCACTAGTGATGGAGACCAAGCTGAAGATTATAGAAATACTGCAGGTA